TAATTAAATTCAATCACAATGCAACAAGTGTCAAGGGGAGAGAGAAGGTTAGGTGAGGACCATGGAGAGGTGGGGGGGACCATTGCCTTGCTCCCCAAGGCTTTCCCAAAGCCTTGGTCCCCACCCTCACAAAACCGCCTCACCCAAAAGGGCTAATGGGCTGCTGCCAGCTAGCAGTACCAGCCAGCCCAGCCAGCTAGCGCCAGACTGCCCAGCAGCCTCGCATGCTTGGTGCTGGTGCGTGCCAGTGCTAGGTGCTGGTGCGTGCTGGCGCTGGTGCTGGCCCTCACATCCCACACACCACACGCATCATCGCTGCACCCCTTCGCACAGGCTCGCACACCCAGCATGCGTGCTGCTAGCGAGCCACACATGCTGGCCCCCTTTGCCTCGCCAGCCACACGCAGCATCTTTCGCACATGCACTAGCTACGCACCATGCGCACTAGTCATGCACAACGTGCATTAGCCTTGCACCACACGCACACCCACGCATCATACAGCAATCTTGGTGCGTGGTGATGCTGGGCTGCTGTGCGTGGCCTAGCAATATGCTGGCGCCCAGGCCCTCGCACATGCATGGTGCGCTGCTTGGTGCTGCCATGCGAAGGCTAGCACACAAGCCAGCACGCATGCTGCGATGGGCTGCTTGGTGTGCCTAGTGCCTGCGATGGCAGCGATGGTGCCTAGGCATCATGCTAGGGCTGCGATAGCGCCTAGGCATCATGCTAGGGCTGCGATAGGTAGCCATGGCGCGCCTAGGCTGCGATGATGCACCTAGGCTGCGATGGTGCGCCTAGCACACCTAGTGTGCTTAGGCTTGCGCCTAGCCATGCTAGGTGCATACTAGCCTAAACTAGCCTAGCATCCACATGGCTAGGCCAGTGTGGTGCTAGGGCTATGTTCATACTTGTTGCTTTGTGATTTCGCAACGCTCGGCCTCGACGCCCTAGGCTCGATATCCGACGTCTGTATTCGTAAAACTCTGTTGACTCATTAAATCCTTTCGGATTAATTCGTCGTCTCGGATCGGTGATTCGATTAGGTTCGACCCGAAGGGTTCAGTTAAGATTAAGCTGTAACATCAATTGTACATTGATATTACTGATCGGAAGCGGCCTCCACCTAGGCATTCCGATCACTTGACCTTACTGAAGAATTAGCCCTGTAATAATTCTGAACCCTCTATCGGAAGAATACACTTGTTGGAAGGACACCATTCCTTTCAAGGATAGCCTTGGTTTCTTGTTTCGTTGGTTAACTGGGACCTAACACAACTGACGATCGTAAAACGTCCGATGAAATTGACGGAAAATCGGTCTCCTTGTCTTCTTTATTGAAAAACCTGAAAGGAAAGCAAAATAAATAAGCTAGCAGAAAAGAGCAGAGCTCGCCGTCGATGGAAAAGAGAAGGACGCCGATCGCCGGTGAGCAAGGGGTTTCCTAAGTTAGGTCGTGGAAGAGGTGGTGGGATAAGGATGGGTTTCCTATTTGGTAGAATAAGTTATAATCAAGCTACGTGGCACATACAATAATATAGGGGGCTACTAAACCACGTTCGGTATTTACCGGGTAACGCCTGTGTTTTTATATGAACTCCTTTAAGTAGCCCTTTCTTAAATAACTCTTCAATCTTCTCTCTCTTACTTTCACTTTTACTTTTCTCTCTCTTCACCTTAAGAATTTCATCCACAACCACCACAAATCAAACCACCACCACCAAGCAAACCACCACAATTCCGTCACCACCAAGCAAAGCCACCACAATTCCGTCGCCACCAAGGGTTGCGACCGGCTACAAGGGACGATGTCAAGAAATCGGAAAGGTAAGGGGGTTGGCGATCAGGTACTTGTTTTACATTTTTTTTTGTTTCAGTCGTTCCAGACGAACGCCTGAAATTTTAGAATGTTCCATGGAAGGAACACCTGAAATTTTAGATTCTCCCCCGGAACATTCTAAAATTTCAGGCGTTTCCCCCCATAACATTCTAAAATTTTAGGCGTTTCCCCCCTTGAACGCCTAAAATTTTAGAATGTTCCAAGGGTGATTCTAAAATTTAAGGCGTTCCTTCTATGATCACGAAATAAAATAAAAAAAATAAACGACAAAAATTTAGAGCATTCACCGACTCCGTATGCTTCGACGACCTTTCTGGTGGCGCTGTTGCTTCCTTAAACTCGTCCATTCACCGTTTGCGCTAATTGGTGAAAAGTAAAGCAACTTTCTTATAAAAAAATATGACGTGATGGTTATTCGTAGATGATGGTTGTTTGGTGGTTGGTGAGGTAACAAGTTAGAGAGTGGTTAAAGAAAGTAAAAGTGAAATAGGGTACATTTTATATGCGAGCATGTTTGTAAAGTCATGTTAAAATACGGGCCCGATAAATACCGACAGTGATTTAGCAATTCACATAATGTACTTTGTATAATATATGAAGCTGAGAAACTAGCTAGTATATGTTATACGAAGTACAAATCAACAACCAAATGACTTAATAATTTTCAAGCACAAGGATCATAGAATTACAAAATACTTTGTACCACCATTTTTGAAATTTATTTTAATAATATTTCGGGTTATATAATGAAAATAATTAAAAAGGTAGAGAAAAGGATTGCAAAAACCTTAATTCTGTCTTACTTTCAAGAAAGTTGGTTTGTGAGAGTGTATCACCCCGTAAGACTTGCCCTAAACAAGATCCTTGATTTGCATTGGGTTTGTCGTTGTTCTTTTGTTACGTCAACTAATTTTATACGCTGCTTAATTTCAACTTCATGCTTAATGTATTTGAATTGAATGTTCTCTTGTTCATATATGAGTTCTTTTCAAATCTTTTGACAAAGTACGTAAGTCCAATAAAATGCTGGATTATATTAGTGAATACAACCCCTACTCTTAAAAAACAAAAGCTAACATATCTTGCTTGTTCAACGGAGCTAGATACAGATTGAAGTATTATATATTTGTATGTACATATACGGTGCATGCATTTACCACATTATGTTAGCAAGATTGATAAAATAATATTATATCAAGGTTCCTAAATCCTAATTGAGAATATATAGGTCGTTTTAGATGTGTACAACTCAAATATTATAATGATGTGTTTGGTTTATTAAAGGTAATTAAGGATTTAAGGAAATGGGTTTTAAAAAAAGAAAAAGGAAGAAAATAGAATGTAACTCCCGTTAATATAAATAATTTTAGTAACAAAACTTTACATAATTATACAATATATTGTGGGGTTGTTTGGCAATCGACTGTTGGCTGTTGGCTTATTTGTTTGGCTTGTTTGACTAGCTGGAAATATTAGTTGTATAGATTGACTTTTTAAGTTAGTTGTTTAAACCAACTGTTTACAAAAGTGTTTGGTAAAATTATTTATGGTTATTAGCTATTTATTAGTGATAAAGTGGGCCAACAAGCCAATAGAAAAAGCTACTCCTATTAGCTTTTAGCGGAAAAGCCAGCTTAAAAGCCAATTAAAAAACATATATTTTAGTTGTTTGACCAAACTAAAAAGCCAAAACCTAAGCAAAAAGTCAATGTTCAAATACCCCCGTATATCTGTATGACTGTACATATCAATACAAATGTACCTAAAAAGTTTACATAATCTCTATCAGCTTCCGTCATCAATAGTATTTTTTTACATGCAGTAGTTTATATTTATAAATCAAAAGGCTTATTTTGAGCTACACGATATTTGTTAGTCCTTAATGATATTTATTGGGGATGTATAAGGATTTTTAGCGTTGTTAGAATGATTAAAGATGGTTGATATTTAAATATTAATTCTCTCTTTTGGGACACTTGTAACTGTTGGGCCATTAATTGTCGTGTCTTCACATCATTGTTGCTTGTACCGCGGCATTTCCTCGCTTAGATGATTAAACATCTAACTACGTAGTAGTAAGTTGTATCTAGGCAAGAATTCAGTATTACTATATTAGTTGTATCATCTATGTATTACGTCTAAATGGACCTAGAGAAGCAAGTAGTTTTATTGTCATAAAAAATTGATTGTGGGACGCTCTGGAAAAGCCATATATGGTGATTGACTGAGGTGAAGAGAGAGCAGAAGGACTACTAGGTGTTTATGAGGGGCGTTAGGAAAATGGTGGGCGGCAGCCGGCAGGGAGAAGGACAGTCGAGGTGGTTAATGATGGGGTGGTGCCCGTGGTGGTGATAATTTGTAGGACTATACTTGGAAGTAGGGAGTGTGATTTGTGTGTCCCTTAAGTTATTGGACAATATAATTACTTATATTTTAAATTGATTATTATTCCTTTGAATTGGTCTCAAATTGATGTTTCGTTTAGATTTTGATAACAATCTTTTAGTGTACATTGATTATTACTATTTTTGACCGTGTCTAATTAAATAAAAGAAATAAAATTTTACATTTAAAGCATACACTTTATATGCAATTTAACAAGATTTTATAAAGTAAGAACTAAGAAATATACTATATTCATCATATCATAAATTATATACGGATTATATAAAAGGTGATTAATTACATCAGGAGACAACATTTGTCGTTATAATTTTTTCAATTGTTGTGTTTCATACAATTATAAGCATAACTGCATTAACACGTTACATTTATAGACACGCAAATAGAGCTTGTTACATTTTTGTCAAGAAAAAATGTGCAAACTAAATTTTAAGATTCAATTTTAATAGACATACCCAATAGAATACTCCATAGTTAGCAAAAATTCGAGACTATTAAAAAATATTCATTAGGATGCCCGTTAGGTTTAAGAATATCATGTCTAATAAAGTTCGATCAACGATGCCCGTTAGGTTTAAGAATATCATGTGCAGTAAACTTGACACGCACATATATTCATAGTTTCATACATACATTACACACGACTTTTCTTTGTTCTCATTCGTTAATTTTCTTGACTCCAATAACTGAACAAAGATCACGGCCCAATTTCCATACTTGGTCCATCTTAAAATTAAAACAGAATATCCGAATATTAATATTTTCCCAACCTCTTTCCTTAACCTTTTCAAACTTCAAGGAACCGCTCTCTTCTTTCTTTCCATAAATTTAATTAAAACTTCTTCAATAAAAAAAATTAAAAAAATTAATTTCGTGTGGGCCACGGCCCAGTGGCCCACCCCCTTGTATTAGCCCTCCGCTATAAATAAACCTTCCATCTTTGAGGCTCAGCGGTTTGAAGCAACCACTTGACTTCAAAACCTCACATATTCTCTCTCTTCTCTCTTACCTCTTCTTCTCTATCAATGGCGGTCCAACTGAAAATTAATTCTACCTCAAATTCAATCAAATTTCTATGTAGTTATGGCGGCAAAATTCTCCCTCGTCCTTCCGATGGTAGACTTCGTTACGTCGGCGGCCTAACTCGCGTTGTCTCTGTTCATCGCGACATCTCCTTCTCTGGTGAGCAACTTTTTCGTAATTTTATTCCATTTGTGTTGATTCGAAGCTTCTAGAAGCGGTTAATTGAGCTTCTTGTTGTTCGAATTACAGAAATAATGGCGAAACTCGAGAATCTATGTGGTTATTCAGTGAATCTACGATGTCAGCTACCTAGCGAAGATCTCGACGTTCTCGTCTCGATCAAATCCGACGACGATCTCACCAATGTAATCGAAGAATACAACAAAGCGTCGTCAATTTCTGGTAACGAATTGAAGATCAGAGCAATTCTCTCTCCTCCGAAATCGTCGTTATCATCATCTTCTTCGTCATCGCTGTTAGTATCTCCAGCTTCATCGCCTTCATCTTCGTGTTCTGGCGCTGATCTCTCTCCTACAAACAGCGATCGCCGGAGATTCGTCAACCCTAAGCCGCCGATTCCGGTAACTGTTCGTTCATCACCGCCGGCGAGAAGAAGTCAATACGGCGTCGTTCGAGATTGTTACTACTACTATCCTTGCCATTTCCTAGCCAATTTTCGGCCTCCTTCATACTTCATCCAACATTCAAATCGCTTGCATTAATTTTTTTTCTAAAAATAAAAAAAAAAAAAATATTTTCGTCCAATTAAACAAATATATAGAAATACGTAATATAATTTTCGTATACATAGTAAAATTTGGCAAAATTGAACCAAAAAAAAAAAAAAAAAAAAAATCAGAAATCGGTCTTTTAGAGTTTTTGAATGGGGTCAATGTCAATGTAATTACGAGTAGTTGTGTAAAAATACTGGTTCTGTGTGTACTACTGAGAATCCGGAGTTGTTGAAATCTGAATGTTCAAAATTCCCATAATTTTCCGGTGATTCTCAGATTCTAATGCCTATTTTTTTGGCCTTGGATTTTTGGACCTTCGATTTAGCCGTTTTTTTTTTAATGGGTGAGCGCATTTAATGCTAATTTAACCAATTACATTAACACGTATAACCTGGATTTTTTTTGGAAGGTATTGTCCCTTTTTTTTATTGGTCACTTGTTTGTATATTACGTGTGTGTGATTTTTTTTTTTAACTCTAATTTGCGAAATTTCTATTTATATATTTTTTGTAATTTCCAGTGGTTCAATCATTTATTTTTCTGTGTTTATTTATGTACAAGTATTTAATATTTTGTGTGTGTGATGAGTGTGTGTGTATTGTGACTTGTAATTGGACTTTTGGTTTGTTAGATCATTTGGTTTGTGTTTGTTTTAAAGTAAATATTTTTATATGTATGTAATCATTAAAGTGCATACTAATTTCTGGGTTATTTCCATGATGTTTGCAGGTCAAAAGGGGCAGAAGTATTAAAAAGAAGACATTATTCTATACAGCTAAAATGTTGGTGGACTACACTAAACTAAATGACGTAACCCAAAAATTATATTTAGGTGGACTTAGAAAACTTGATAATAACGTCTCTTAATTAATAGGGAGTAATCAACAAATGGACAAATATTTGATAGAAAAAACAGAAAAAAGCAAACTACTGAATAAATAATGAAAAGAAAAGGTGGGCAAGTGGTATGGGCCTGGGCTTCGGTGGACCTAATAAGTTGGAGATAAGGATAATATCCGGAATTATGACGTGAACTTTGGGGCCCATTAGGCCTTGGAATGATTGAACATTTGGATGAAAAGGTTTAATATATGCGGCTTGAATGTGAACGTGTCAACCATATTGTGGGACCCACACATTTTATTGTATAGTATACGATTGATTTGAATTGAATACGATAGTATTATACTATAAAGATAAGAATGGGGCATAATTATCAAATTATGGGACCATGGCCGGCTTCTGGTGATTGTTAGAGGCAAAGAGAGAATGTATGAATGCCAAATCCTAGATAAAGAGAGGGATTTATGTGTAGTGTGTTAGGATTTTGCGTGTCATATTAGTTAACAATATTAGTATTATTACTAGTTGTTAGTGTTTAATGATTTTGGAGAAGAGTAATATTAAAGAATCTATTCGAATAAGTCTAAGGTACTAAGGTAAGAGACCTAAGAGTGTTTACAAAGAATTCACGTTGGCTCCCGCGTACTAGGAGAGGTCGATAAGATAGGAAGAAAAAATATTATTATATTTATGAAGATATTTCTATGAAATAATCATTCGGTGTATGGTCTTATGGGTGAGACTTACATATTCAGAGACTATTACATATTTACGTCTAGTGAGTTGTGTTATGCTCTTTTGCCAATTTTGTCCTCTTAGGTCGTAAAGATCTTGATTCTTGAATGTTCGACTTGCGAGTAAGAACGAGGAACTAACTAAAACGAAGAGCTTTAAGATTCACGTTGTTATGGACAGTGTCAATCTTAGCATGTTTGTGCACTTGTGAAAACACGGGATTAGTAGCAATATGCGATGATGCCACTGTCATAAATAAAATAAATATTGTTTTAATAGATCGACACCTTGCCTTAATTGATGAATAGGGTTAGAAAATCATAGCTGATCTTGAACCAATTTGACATTATTGATAAACTTTCAAACTCGATTAATCCAAAATTGACCCAAATTTTTTAATGCACTCGTGACTAAACTAAAATCCTAACTGAATTGCCATCCCCTATCAATGATCAAGATGCATTGGTTGCTTATTGGTCTTCTACTTAATTATTAGTACATCAAGCAACACAAAAATGAAACTTGTAAGAAATCACCTAATCAAAAATTCAAAAGGTTAACTAACCTAGTTAGTATCGCTTTAGGCATAAGATATACAATTTTAGTGGTAAAATGGGCAAAAATAGCATAACTTGGCACAAATGAGAGTCGAGTTTACCTCAAATAATAGAGAGATCATTGCTCATAAAAGTTATCTGCATTGAGTAATGTGATGATTGTGAGTCTTACCACCACACAAGGAACTTGTGATCCCAGACAAGTTTCATGAGTTTAGTTACCACCAGGAGACTTCAGACATTTACGGGTAGCCACAATACATACAAACTACTCTCACAACTAACAAATACTTCCAATATCAACAACCACTACAAAAACTAGTACTATTGCAGAACATGTCCCTAATTATCAATAAGGTATGATAAATCGTAAAAATCATGCCATTGCATCATGATATCAAACTATTTAAGATGAGAGATCCAATTAACTTTCACCATATATACGAGTGTGCATTTCTTCTGAGGCAAATTCTTGTATGGAACACTTTCCAAAACACTGAAACTTTTCGGGCAATATAGTAAGGAGAAATACAATAATCTGGTTCAAATTTTGAGTATGCACTCAGTTTTCTCACTAATCACCTATAAACACAAGATTTGCTACAAGGACACTAAAGAGGATACTTTACCAAACCATTTTCCAAGTAGTATGGAGTACATCATACTGTACTTGGCATGTGGTAATGGAACTCAATCCACAAGTACTTTGCTGTTTCTACTACAAGCTCTTCCGAGCTAGAAAATAAAGCGAGAGACATTTGCAATATAGGAATTGAATTCAGTCCACAAGAGTCCGACTAGGCAGTTTCCTGTTCGAACTCGCCTTCTGATTCTTCAGCATTGTCAGCTTCATCATCGTCTTCAGCATCATTGTCAACGTCTTCTTTATCATTATCCACCTTTGTTTTCCCAATCACAACAACGTTGCAATTCAACTTTTTAATTTCATTACACTGCAAAAATTGGAAGAGTAAAAAAAATTAAAAAATAAAAATAAAAAAATAAAAAAAAAACCAATATCATCAGTTATATAGACATTTCCATAATTACTGACCTGTTTGGTAACGTTAGAAATATAAAAAGAAAGCTTGACCTATGAAGCCAGATACAACATAATTATATCCATCTATTTCATTTCTCAAATAAGTAGAGCTAAAGCAACCTAACAGAAAACTCAGAGCACAACCTCCGCACAGATTTCCAAAATGAAGGCTGACTCTCAAGTTTAGGCAAAAAAAGACAAAAATTCATCCATAACAAAATGAATGTCTCCGCTTTTCTTTGAATACATTAAAGTGCTGGCTTGCTTTCTTTAAAACAATACTGTAGCTTGCATTTCATCAGAGGCTTCATTTAAGCTAGATCACAAGTATGCACATAGCCAATACATCTAAAAGTATATTTTCATCCATTATCTCAGAGGAGTCAATTAGTTTTTCAAATACTTGTAGAATTCAATAGCCAATTAGTCATGAAAAATGACATTGTGACATGAAATGATGAAAACATTGACAAATCAAGTTTTAGCACATCTATACCAAGCTGTCCATCCATTCCTAGTCAAGAGACAAAATAATGATGTGCCAGTGTGCCACTAGTTTCAAAGAAATGCTAGTGTCTTCAAACTCTCAGCTTTGCAATACAAGTGTATTATCTAATCAAGAAAGTGTATCCCCTTTCTAAAAAGGAGACATAGGTTAAGGTCTAAAGTGAAATAGAACCTCCAGAATGTTAGTTCTGTTGGCGTGAATCTCAAACGATGGTATTAATAAATATAGAATGTAGGTTATCTTACTCAAATAAAAAAATTCACCAAAATTATATAAAGTTTATCAGCTTATCTGACACAGGAAAATAGGTACACTAATTTTAAAAAAATTCTTAAGCCATATATGCTTTCTATAACTCCCATTACAGTCACAGGCTAAAGTTTTAACAAAAAAAAAAGATCTTGATAATTCTCACAGGCACTCTGTTATAAAGATTGCACCTAAACCACACAACTGACACAAGTGAGCTCAACCATCCACAACTACATAATGGTTTATCATCAATCCTGAAAGTGATAACTATGGTCAACCAGTTGATACTAAATCAAGCCTTGATTACATATTTAGGCTAAATGTTAATGAATAACGTAATCCTCATATATAAACCAACTCCAATTACAAACCTTAATTTACATCTACTTAAATACAGCTCAACAGCTAATCAGTCATGCAAAATGATATTTGAAATGAAATGATTAAATATATTAACAAATCAAGTTTTGGCACAGCTAGACCAAATCGTCCATTACATTTCGGTTCAAGCGATATCAAGAAATCAAGCATCAAATCAAAAAGAGAGAAAACCTTCCAAAGAAATTCTAATGTTTTAATTTCACACTGCAATACAAGTGCAATATCTAACCAAGAATAAACCTTTTCTAAGGTGGCTTAGCTTCAGGACTATAATTACATGTAACCTCCAGATGTGAATTAATTATGTTGGTGTATATCTCAACTTTTGGTATTAGTGAAACAATTAGATTACTTAACTAGAAAGAAAATATAGCTGATCAAGTTAAATAAGTATACTAATAAGTGGTCATATAATTTATAAAATTCTTAATCCATAAATGTTGTCTATAACTTCCATTGCACAAGAAAGTTTTACCAATAAAAAAACCTCGAAAATTCTCACAGGTACTCTGTTATAAAGATTGCTCCTAATCCACAGAAGGGAGCTCAACCATCCATAAATAGGGAAAAGGTTATCAATCAAGAATATGAAGAATACTGTTGCCAACCATTTCATACTAGACAAAACTTGCTTTTATAATTCGGCTGAGATATTATGAATGATGTAATCCACAGGTATAAATCAACTCTCAATACAATCCTAATTTTCAAGCCAAAATAACCTTGCATGTAGAGCCCATCACATCAAATCGTAATCAATGCAAGAGTAGGTGAGTGCAAGTTGCACAAATGTTAACACCAACTAACAAAGCGAAATCTAAGCTCGAAGGGATATTTCCAGGGCATCCAACAGCATGGTTTTGATAGGGGATCAAACACAAAATGGTCACACTTAATCGATACCACACTAACTTTGATCAGAAGTTAAAACCAATGTAAGAAAATCCTTAAGATTGATAACACACATCAATTTTCTTGGTCTTCCAGCTCCATATATGAATTCTTTTAGTACATGGAAATAAAACCAAAATTTAAAATAAAGATAGTTTAGTCTTTCTAGTATAGTGAATTGTTCTCCCTTAATTCTACCAGCCAACCACAACAAAAGCAACAACACCAAGAAGACCCTAAATCAAAAATTTGTTGAAAGAATGCCTCTTGTTATGCTACAACTATAGTTGTCATAACTCACAAGTGTCATCTATGTGTCAACCAAAATTCAGCAAAACTATCCCATTTAACCACGAACAACACGAACTCTGATAAAACGGCTAAAAACTCTGAAATCTCAACACCCCACAAATTTAACAATCTCCAAAACATTTTCTAATGGCTAAAAGATCATTCTAACGCAATATATGCAGTGTTCCAAGGCATTGTAGTTGGATGTAAAAGATTGTTCTTCGATATTTGCATTAATTGGCAATTGCACACAATGCCTTAATCAATTTCTTCCTACAAAAATCCCTAATTCTCAAAATAAACAACTAAATTCCTAGGGTTTGCTCATGACGGGAGTGATCAAACTTAAATTAGGCGAAATATCATCAAAATTACTAATTATAAAATTAATAATTAAATTGGAACAAAATTGCAGCAATTGCAAACGAAGTGAAAAAAAAAATGGAGGAGGTTAGAAATTGAAGGACCTTGTCGAGAAATTCAGATTCTTCCAAAGCTAAGAGTTCGTCTTCGTTTTGGGCATTCGCTAATTGGTGTTGGAGTAGAAGTGACGCCGGAATCATCCGCTCCGACGACGGAAATTGGGTCATAAACGCCGGAAACTGCAGCATTTTCTCCCGTCTTCAGTTATGTCTTGTCTGGCGAAGTCCCAAATCAACGATTTGGAGTAGTTACTATTTAGGGACTTATTTGTACACCACCATCACTTTTAAGATTTTCGGTCAGAAATATATCAGTGGTTAATAAAATCTTTACCTAAGGGGTTAGTATGGCCCCAATTTATATACTTTGCCACTAAAATGAATGTCTTTAAATCGGCTGACCGATTTATCATTGCTTAGGTGGGTTGATTGGCATGGACCATGGCCATGGGAGGGGAGGAGAGAGAAGAAAATATTTTGGTTTGGTGGTGGTGGAGTGGCTAGTGGAAAGAGAGGGTGAAACTGTAACAATGAGATAACGTTTTTGTTTCTCACGGATATAAACCTGGGCAAGCTTGTAAAAAACTGAAATCTACAGTGATACCAAAGGCACCCAAAATGATACTCCCTCCGTCTTAAAATGATGTTCTTGTTTACGTAAATCGTTGCAAATTTTTACCCTTTTTTTATAGCAAATATTTTTAATCTATAAAAGTTAAGATATTAATAATGTACTCACCAATACGAATCAAACTAGATCCCACGTAATTATATTTGTTCTTATAGATTGAAAGAAATTTATATTTGTTTCTCAGTATTCTTGGGGTTCGGCGACTTTGGCATATCTACATTGCCAACTAGGCATAGCTTCACGGAGTGAGTGCAGAGCGATGGGAGGTTGTTTAACGCTAATGCAAGCATGGATATTTGAGTACTTTCCTTGTTTTCTACCACATCAGGGTTCATTAGTGATACAACCAGGAGATGTTGGTGCCTTGATGTGGGATTATGGCAATGAGAGTAAAGGCCACCTTCGACTGGCCTCATATCGTAAACGACTTGACCATATGACTGCAAGAAAGGTAACGAGTTAAGTTATACAATGATTTTATGCTACTATAAAATATTAATCAATGTGAACGTTTTTTTTTTTATTTTATTTTTTTTTATTTTATTTTATTTTTTATTTTTATTGTATGCATGTTAATTGGTTGCCCTATGTTCCTGATGTCCCGAGGACTACTTATTTGGGTTAGTTGTTTATGTTACCATGACATTATTGAGCCATATAACCCTGATCGTGTAATTCGACAACTTGGTTACGTAGGAACTTGGTTACGTTCAGGAAACCCCTCCTCCGGCTCTAGCACCAGACAAAGCATATAGGCTGCTAAGTCGTACGAGTTAGAGTTCTCCATTCCATACGCAATGTTGATGTGGCAAAGGTTTAATCCTTTGTACGGCGGTATTCGTGTTGATGTTTTGAAGCGCTTTGAGGACGGCTCAACTACTTGCTCAGATGATTACATGAATTGGTTTAATAAGTACTCCCATCCTCATATTATTGACGACGAGGGTATATCGAGGACTCAGAGACTTCCCAAAAGGACAAACGTCGATTATCGAGGGTAGTTCGGTCTCAAACAATATCTTTTCCAAAAAAAAAATTCTCCACCACTCTAAATATCTATTCCTTCTTTCCAGTCTTATTATTTTCACCTTGAAACAATTCTGTAAAACGGATAACTAAAAATTCAACATATTACAATTTTACTTGACATACCCGATCATGATAAATTAGGGACTACTCCTAATGTTTTAAGAATGACCTTCCAATAATAAGAACGCTATGAGTTAATCGATTATTGGAACTTTTTAAAGAAAATTGTCTTAGGACTGGCAGCTTCAGTTTTTCCAAAATACTACTCCCTCCGTTTTTTTTTTTTTTTTTTTTTTAAGTTAGAGTTGGAAAATTCCACTATTTATAGGTCATCATTGACTTAATTTTTTGTTTTTTTGTTTACCAATATATAATATAAAAATATGATCAAATAATATGTTGTTGGAATTGTCATAATGTCAACTTTATAAATTATTTTTTCATAATTTTTACTAACCTCTAATTAAAGATATTAATGGTCAAAGTTGTGTCTCGGTAAATGTGTAAATCCAACTCTAACTTATAAAAAAAAACAGAGGGAGTATGTTTTTTTTTTATTTTTTTATTTTGTCAGGAAAAATACTCTGTAATTTTAGTTTGATATGGAGTAAATAAAAGATGAATTCTCCTCGGGTTTTTTTACACTTTACTTGAAATTTTGCATTATTCATATGTTACCTTTAACTTTTTATTTTATTTTTTATTTTTTATTAATACGGAGTATATAAATGTGATCATGTATCATATTGCTGAATTTGTTATAATGTCTACTTTTATACTCCAACCGTTTTTATTTAGTTGACGCGTTCAATTTAGGCACACATATTAAGGAGAGGAGAGAGAATGATAAAGCAAGTGGGTTAGCTACTAAAAGCAAGGTTAACTTACCTAAAAAGAAATACGTGTTAGTTAACGAAAACTTCCTAACAAGAAATACGTGTTAGTTAACGAAAACTTCCTAACAAGAAATACGTGTTAGTTAAGAGAAATAGAGGTAAGTATTTTTTTAATAATTTCTACTAATATCATACTAATGTTGTACGCCGTAGTAGTGGAGTACTAAAGATACCGATGCTTACAGTTGTGCCACCAGAAAATGTAAAATCCAGAACAAAAGAAAGAGGAGGACCGAAGCAGTAGAAGTGTAGCACAAAACTTTAATCCGCTTCCCCATTTCGCCGGCGTTTGCTCGTCTCTGTCCTCAATCGACGACGAAAACCTTCGGTTGGAAAGCGTTGTGACTCCTTTATCGGCTGTCGCTTGGACTCCACTTTGGCTGTTATTCTCTCTCCTCAACTCGCCGGTAACTTCTTCCCCTCACGCCAATCTCATCTTTTAAGCTTCTCTTACAATTCCTTAATTTATTCTGGGAAATTTTGTTAGAAAAACCTTTTAAAGCAACTATGTTGTTCGGAAAAACCTTATAAATTTTATTTGGCAACCTAAAACCTGATTTAAAAATATTTTTGTTAAAGACAACCGAGACTCATTTTCCGGCATTGACATGGTCTTTTCCGGCGTTGACCCCACTTGTTTTATCACTAATCTCACCCCTTTTCTTCTACTTTCCCCCTAATTCCCCTCTTTCTCACTCTCATCAGATTGTTATCTCTCAATTGAATATCTTTCAAGCAAGGTAATTAGTGTTTTTGGCTATTGGTTTTGACCAAGTACACTATTCAATTGTTGTGTAATTTGTGGCCAGTTCATCAAATTGGAGGAATTCACAAATTAGGGTGGGTGACCATATTTAATTTGTAACCTTTGTCTGAGCTTGTTCAGCGAGTTTGCCATGTACTAGTTCTCATCTCTTGCTGCTGCCATTGTTGGAATTAGAACTTTTTTTTTTTTTCCCCCTAGATTTGAGTTTGATTTTAGGTGTTTATTTTTATAAATTTTTAGGGTTTTTGAAAATTAAAAAAAAAGGAGTTTTTGAATTTGTAGAAATTGGGGGAAGAAAGTGAACAGGGTGCTAGCTATACAACCGCAGCAGCCAGCAGGCGTTCTGAGGTCTTGAGGGGGTTGTTTCGGGGTGGGGGAAAGGGAGCGGGGCTGTTTCGTGCTGGGGGAAGGGAGGGAGGAGAGTTGTTGGGGGTTAGGGTTTGCTGGGTGGTCGCGGCCGGTGGTCGGGGTAAAGGGGAAAGGAAGAGGTGGGTCGTCGGGGTGGCGAGTAGGATGGGGGAGGGGTGCTGCTAGCAGGGGAGGGGAGGGGAGGGGAGGAGGTGGCTGGTGGTGGAGGTGGTATTTTTTTATTTTTTATAAATGAATATAGTTGCTAAAATAATTAGGTGAGTTGGAGGTTAATTAGAATAAATGGGGTGGAGATAGAAAAAAAAAAATCACATGGGGGTCAATGTCGGAAATAGGTGTAGTTAACGCCGGAAAGTAGTCACTGGTTATCTTCAACAAAAGAAATAAAAATTTTATAAGGTTTTTCTCAACAAACAAGTTGATTTGAAAGATTTTTTCTGACAAATTTTCCTTTATTCTGCTACTTTACTGTCTTCTCTTTCAAATTTACTGAATTTAGGAATTTTTTTGTTCTTATATTAATATATGATCCCCTAATTCCCTTAATTTTGTGATATGCTGTACTTGCTTAATCCTGGTGGTTTGAATAATTAGATAGTTTCATTGTTTGACTGGAATTAATTGATTGAAATTTGGATTCAATTAGGGTTGCAATGCTTGTGTCAATTGAATAGGTAATAGGATTATTGCTGCCGCTTGTGGGTTTATCGGAACAGCAACGTTTTCAGCTTTTCGGGGAGATTGTGAAGGATATAATGGGGAGAGGGAGGAAGAATTTGAAGAGGGAGGTGGAAGAGGACGACTTCACTCTTCAACAAGGTCAAAGTATTATGCAAGTTGTGTCTCTTCGAGGTTCCAATCTTATTGAGGTACTGACTGAATGTTGCTTTCCTAATCAATGAAGTAATGCTGTGGAGCTTATTAATCTTTGAGAATGCTGATGCTTATTTGTGATTTTGTATTCATCTTTTTGAAGTGATTGTCTACGTTAAGATGGCGTGAAATTTTTGAAGTTTTATCTGAGAAATTTCTTAAAAAATAGTCATATGGCATTGAATTAGTATACACAATTTTTTGGGTTTCAGTAAATGTATAATGGATATGTGATAGATGATTCCCTAAAGTTTTCCCCTTTACACTTTTGCTTATGAGGAGTTGTTTTTCTCAAATCAACCGAAAGCATGACCAAGGGTTGTTAATTTTCTATTATGTAGAAGTTGGGTTGTTTTCCAATTTCAAGTTTGTTAGAACTTAGAAAGGCGATTGACCCTCCTGACATTGGGTAGAGATTAGATCATAGGTTTAATTCAGAGGAAGTCAATACTCTAATGTAACAGAACTGCCTTCACTAGTCTACTCCTTTACAAGGAAGGGTTACGGATTCAAGGGTTCTGATGGTAGCTGTAGGGTGGAACACATGGACTTGCAAGCTTTGGGTGTGTGGATAGTAGCTAACTGAGCATTTGGTTTTGTATGTTTTTCAGGTAACAGATGGAAAAGGTGAGAAGTCGTTGGCTCTTTTTCCCGCCAAATTTCAGAAAAGCATGTGGATAAAGAATGGTTAGTTATCGGAAACATTACGAACACTATACTAAAACTTCTACTGTATTAATGAAGTATCACTTTCTCAATGCATAGGGAGCTTTGTTGTTGTCGATGACAGTGGTAAAGAGGAGGCTCTTGAGTCTGGTAGTAAGGTGGGATGCATCGTATCCCAAGTTCTCTTCCATGATAAAGTTAGGCGTCTTCAAAAAAGCTCTGATTGGTAAGCTCTTACTTATTCTGATCTCCTTTAGAATCTGTTTTAGGCTGGTAGTTTCTACTGCTGAGAGCATCTTGGTTTGTTTCTCTTTTTTTTTTCCATTATTTAGTCAGATGAGCTTAATAATATTTTGTAATTTGAAGTCCTATGAATCTATGATGTTCTTTATTTAGCTTTTATGAAGTCTCTTTTTCTTGATCTTATTTGTTGAAGCTTCTTCATCAAGCTTGTATACTAATAAAGCTTTTAGAAGAGGGAGAATTTAGTGCAATGTCCACATATTGAGTAACATCGTTGTAGTCAGCCTGACCTAGAGGTCTCCAATAATGTTTATTGTCTGCCTGTCAGATATCATATGGGCTTTGTAAGGTATGCATCTTCAGCACTGTCTCCTTCCATGTTAGACCTTTTAAACATTTTCTAACTTTTACGATGGTAAGCTGCCACATGCCTACACCACCTCAGGATCCTCATGTGATCCTTGTTTACTAAGATGTACAGTGTATACTGTAATGACAAGTTAATTGATTTATAGCTTCTTAGCTGTCTGCAACTACCTACTCTTCATTGTATAATGTAGTCATACCTTTGATTACCTTTATTAATGGCTGCATTTTCCTCGATTCAAGACTTCTGGATTTTCTAGCTTTGGTAGATGTGAATCTATATATAGAAGCTTGTTTGTCGTGCTGAAATAACACCCTGCGTGGAGAATGCTATTTTGTCCTCCGTATGTGAGAAGTTCCTAGGCCTCATCATTGTTTACTTCACGATAAATCTTAGGCTCAAGCTGATGTGTTCAAGCCTGGGATGCTAGAGTTTTCCTGCCTTATTCTTGTTTTTTCTGCATAACCAGTGCTTCAGAACATTATAGATTGAATCTTAACAATTTAACATAGCCCTAGGATATTTAGGCTTAAGGTTAGGCTTAAGGTCTTGGTACACCTTTTACCTTGGGAGCTACTCCCTCTGACCATCGATAAATTTAATTATCAGTTATTAAAAATTAAAGAAAGTATATTGAAAATATACATTAAGATAAACTCTTCTTACATACTAACCTTTGTTTTCATATATTGGCAAATAATTGATAGTCCAAGTGGGGTGTGCAAATAGTCATAATGTGTCAACTAAATAAAGACTGAGGTAGGACCTAACATGTAGAACCCTGGCTATATCTTTTTTTATTTTGATACTAAGGTGTTGGGTGCGCTGTTGTGCAGCTTAATCAGGACTAAAAAGAGTGATTGCTAATATCAAGTTAATATAAGTTCTTACTGATTTGTTTTTGGTTACATAACTCATCTTCCCTGTTGTGAAATATATTAAATAACCTCTCCTTAATTTGATTGGCTCCTCCTTAGTTCTTATTGCTTTACATGTGATTGGACAAGATTTTGCTAGCAAATTTACAGCATGGGGATTTTAAGCTAGACATCATGGAAGGAGACTTACCTCCTATTCTAAGTATGGAAAACAAAAATTTGGACTAGGTCCTCGTCCTCCTCAACCTTCTCGCGGATCGCTTTACCTGACATTTGGTGAACCTTGGCCCCTTGGGTAATTGTTTTAATGCTGGCTGTTCAGCTCAAACATCCATGACTTATCAAGATGTAGTTTCAAGCATGCATTCTGGTGTATGTGGCTAGAGTGGATTAAAATTACATTGATTATGTGATTTTTGGGCTTTCGAAGTATCATCTGTATAAAGAATACTTCTTGATTTTTTGGACAATCACTAGTGGAGCCTTTGTAAGGGATCTCTTTTTTTTTTTTTTCTTTTTTTTTGGGAGCTATTCTGTCTCCATAGATATGTATCATGCAATTTCTTTGCAGTGTTTCAATTTCATTACTGGAGGAATGCGTGGCCTGCTTGAGTAATTATGTTTTCAATTTTCATGGATTTCTGTACTAATTTAGGCAACACCAGATAACTATATAGCTTCTTTCTTCGGTTGTAATAGAAATTAAAAGACTTAAAGAGTTGAAACAACTACTTGTATATCTTTTCTCAGCAACCTTTAAAAAGCCCGAGTGCTTTGGAATACTGCAATTTAGGCATTTGATGATGTCTTTCCCCATTCTTTTCTCTAATTAGAGGACTCTGTCTGATGCTAATGTGGAATAGACTGTAGTCCTTTACTGGTGTGTGGCAAGGTCATGTTTTGTTACGCTGGAGTCAAGAGGCGCATAGGTCATTTTTACTATGAATGGACTGCTCTCATTAGACATTATTATAATCTAATGAGACGAAGCCACTATGAAAATTTTATATGTAGGTTTCATATGTTACTCTGCTACTCTGCATCGTTTACCATTTACCATTACTGATTGATGATCGCTTCTTCTTACCTCCTCAGGCCAGAAGCATTCAAGTCACAAACTATTGACAGCTCCACTAGAAATTCCCCAAGACCTGTTTCTGAACAGGAAGCGGAAGATTCAGGCTCAAGTGATGATGATGGACTTCCACCACTTGAAACGAACATGAATAGAAGGAGGCCGTATGACTTGCATTCAGGCTCAGCATCAAATTCTGATGCAGATAGTGACACTAATGAAGAGTCTTAGACACAGATTTCTGGTAATTTCTTTGTAGCTTTTAGATGTTATAGTCAGGTGGCACTTGCACAAACAATTATTACTACTCTTTATATTCTCTCTCAAATCGTGCACAGAAATGTGTTCTAAGCAATTTTTGTAGTGTTATCTATGTAATATTGAATAGATCCAGGTGGTACATGTTATTCAGATAACTGTAAAGTAAATTCAGTGCTACTGATTAGTTGAGTTTATTTGCTATTAGTATGCTGTTATGATCGCATCTTGCTGCTCTGTTGGCCTTACAACTAATTCTGAGCTGTATGCACAACTGACCTGCGACATGATGACATGACTGGATGGATTAGTGAAGGTTACGTAGAGTTGATTTCATGAAATCATTTGGTATAGGAAATTTTATAAGTCCATCGCGATTGCATGATATGTGTTGGCAAATGTCCAAAAATGACAAATAAGTCCACATCTGCATTAGCTTTGCGAACGTGGCATGTTTGTTCTAAGGTCCAAAGTACAGTATAAAGATCGTTATCAGAGAATATTTAGCACTCTCCCAAGTTATTATCACTCCATTCATGAAGAAATTAAAATCCAATTTGGTTTGTGTATTTTCACTCCTTTTTCTTCCCAATATACCCTATATTCTTATGATCAAGATAAATCCTATTTCAATCTCCACTAATTAAATTGGGAGGATGCTAAAAACAATGGTGTTTCCGCATTGCTATGTTGTGATTAGGACGAACTCGCAGAGACATAAAGGCGCATGAGATGTCAATGAATACTCACTCCATCAAAAATACACTTCTACGGTGTAGAATAATACTCCCTCTGCCCGGGGTTATCTGCAACAAAGGACGGTTTTGCGGACTCCTAGGCAAAACTTCTTAAGCAAGATTATTGAAAAGTAAGAGGAGAGTGAAGGAATAATTAAACCAAATTAAATTAAAACACACAATTAAACAACCACCACTTACGAACACCAAACCAAAGCGCCACCCCAAGAACCACCAACACCCCGCGAACCACCACCACCAAACCCCCGAAACCACCACCAAACCCCTGAAACCCACCACCAACACCCCCGAAAACCAACACCAAACCCCCGAAACCCACCACCAACACCCCCGAAACCACCACCAACACCCCCGAAAACCAACACCAAACCCCCGAAACCCACCACCAACACCCCCGAAACAACCACCAAACCCCCGAAACCACCACCAAACCCCCGAAACCCACCACCAACACCCCTGAAACCACCAACACCCCCGAAACCACCACCAAACCCCCGAAACCCACCACCAAACCCCCGAAAACCAACACCAAACCCACAAAACTCACCTCCAAACCCACGAAACCCTCCCCCAAACCAACGAAACCTACCACCAAACCCACGAAACCCACCGCCAAACCCACGAAATCCAGATCTGGAATTGCGCGACGGTGGCTGGGGTAAGGTGGTGGAGAATTGGCAACGAATTGCGGTGGTGTTGGTGGTCTGTGCTCGTCTGGGCTGGTGGTAGGGGCGGCGAAGGTGGCTGGGGTAAGGTGGTGGATTAGTTGGTAAGTCAATGTCATTAACATATTAGACCATTCTCAGCGGTGAGGAAAAAAAAAAACCTCTCAATCTCTCTCTACCCACTTTCTCACTCCTCCCATACAATTTCTCCCATCAAATGTTTTTTTCACCACAGCAATGAGGAAAAAAAAAAACCTCTCATCACTTTCTCCTCCACTATTTTTTAATTTATTTTTTAATTACGTTTAAAAATAATTTAATAAAAATTTATAATTACGTTTTAAAATATTAATAATACTAACTGGAAATTTTTTTTATAAGAAATAATTATAATAATAATAATAACAAGAAGAAATTGGGAAAATATGTTAATTTCTCTAGTTTATGGGTTTTTTTGAAAGTATATCAAAATGCATGTCTATTTACAGAGAAAAATTTTTTATGGTCGTTGGTGAATTTTATTTTTTTTTTAAAAATAATTACAACGGTTATATTTCAAATACAAAATATAACCGTTGTAAAAAAACAACAAAAGCAGTGGGGGCCACATGTTACTGTTCATCACCAAAAGCCCTCAACTCTTGAGGGTTTTTATTTTCACTCATCGGTGAGTGTTTTTTCACTCACTGATGTAGTGTTCGGATTTTTCTTTTACACCCTTATTTTTACTCGTGAGGGCTTTTCTCCTCACTGCTGGGAGTGCTCTTAAAAACAAAGTTAGGAGTTTTAAGTAAGGGTAAGATTGACATTTTGCTGTTAAAAATTTACTAAAAGAGGAAAAAAAAATTGTTGCAAATAATAGAGAGCACCTATTTTTAGTAAGTGTTGCAGATAATTACAGGCGGAGGTAGTATATCAACATCCCATCCTCAAAATTCCGAAACTTTATCACATGATAAGCTGAATAGCATATTACGTACAAATTTTGTGTTGTTGGCCCACCATGCCACCAAACTGGTAAAAGCGTAGAGTGCTATACGGATAAGGGAAGTTTCTCACGTTCTCTCAACTTTGGCAGGGTAGCACTCAGCACCAAGTCACCAAATGCCGAGTTATTAATTACAGCATCTATTACTTAGCGTTGTATGATATTCTTTTCCCTCTGCCAAATTGAAGAAATTAAAGTTGTTTAGTGAACTACTGCATCTAAAACTACCAGTCAATATTTTCCAACCCAAGCAAAGTTAACTTTAATCAGTTCCTTTATCTTCCTCTTGTTATCATAATGATCATATTTCATTTTCCCATTGCTTAGATTCTTTTCCCTCTTTCTTTAAAGTACATTTGAAGAATATTTTACGTGCTTCTAAAATTAGAATAAAGTATTTGGCACAAAGACGAAGTGTTGTATGGAGCAACATCTAAAATTAAACGACCAATATTAGCAATTCAATAAGCTTTGCATCTTTGTAAGCATGTCTGATCTCTTAGTGATCGAACTTTCGTTAAAGCAATTAGGTATCTACAATGATCTGACCAATCTGCTAAGAGGAAGTTTAGATACCGGAAGATGCGTTGATCACTAGCCGATTGTCTACTTCAATGAGAATGTTTTGATTTCTTGTTCAATGGCTAGGAGAATGTATTATGGAAAGTTGTAGCCTATGCAATGAAGAATTAAGTGATGCCAAGGACGAAAGTGTGTGTATGAAGTACTCCGTACACGTAGTGTATAAGAAGTTCAAAAGTAATAATATAATATGAGATTCTTTAACATGTATTCATGGACACATAATAAGATTTATAAGATTCAATTCGTCGGTCTCATATTTACATGTCTATTTCTTAAAAAACATTGGAATTAAGAAAAATGAAGGGAGTGGAGAAATGTTATATGAGAAAGATAAAAAGTAAATAATATTGTATGAGAATAATAAAAAGTAGAGAATGCTGTATGAAAAAGATAAAAAGTAAATAATGATTTTTTGGATACGTATGTATTTTGTATGGAAAAAGGTAAAATGTTGTATGAATTATGATAGAATTATGTGATATTTTTAGAAATAGACACAATATTTTGGGACATCTAAAATAAAATATAGGCATGTAAATATGGGATGGAAGGAATATTAATAAACACAGTTTACAAAGATAAAAGTTGCCGATAATTTATTTTATAATTTTATTTTTTAACTTAACATATATCACTATGGTATCATTTACCGTTAAAATTCTCACTTTCAATTCGGGTTGACGGTTCGATTTCGGGTCACAAAAGTCTATCTTAGAGATGGGTGTACAGGAAAAGTCGTTACTTAGAGACAAACTCTCAATTCAATAAGATTTGTTTCAAATAAAATCATTCCATAAACAGAGCCTGACATTTCCCTCTTTTTCTCCTCTTTTACATTCGTGTCACTTTCTTTCCTATTCCACGTTTTCCATGGCTTCCCCTTCAAATAACTTTCTCTCTCCTCTCTTTCCTTACAATACCCACCTCTCTTTCTCTCTCTAAAACTCAATACCCCCATTTTCTCTCATCAAAATTAATACCCAAAAATTAGAAAAAACCGCCATTAAAATGAGATTATATGCGTATGTATTAGAAGCTAAAGATTTGCCAGTAAAAAACAGTAGCTATGTGAAGCTTCAAGTGGGTAAATTCAAGTCTAAAACCCGAATTGTGACCGGGTCTGACCCGGTTTGGAATGAAGAATTTGTATTCCGGGTTCATGACTTGGAAGATGAACTTGTTTTGTCGATTTATCATCATGATGAAGATGATACTTATGCCCGGTTCTTTAATGTTTCCGGGTTTTTGGTGGGTCGGGTTCGGGTTCCGGTTTGGACCGTCATCGGCGAAGAGAGTGAATGTTTACCCCCTACTTGGTTTTCCCTTCAGAATCCTAAAACTGGGAAGCGCATGAAAAAGAATTGTGGTTTGTATTTCTTTTATTGTCCTTTAATGTGTTGATCTTTACGTTGTGATTTTGTATTGTTCAACTTGTATATGGATTTTAATGGATATGGGTTGTATCAATGTGTTTTGGATTTGATTGAGTATTTGTACTTTGCGGAATTAATTGTTACATTGATAGTGTAATTTGAATTGATAATGTGACAACTTAATTTAGTGAGAGAGGTAGTATTTGTTTCAGGAACGTAGAACAATGTGATTATTATTTGTGAATTAGCTGTTGCGTTGATAGTGTAATTTGAACTAGTAATGTAACAACTCAATCTGGACGGAGGTTGTATGTGTTTTGGAAACGTAGAACAATGTGATTATTATTCGAGGCTGTGAGAAGTAGCTTTCTTGTTGTTTTGTTGGAACATCATCGTAAATTTGGGTGTTTCTTCTTATGATGCTATATGTGCCGAACAATGTGAATTATTTGTGGCTGTGAGTAGTAGTATTCTAATATTCTTCTTCTTGTTTTGTGATCCTACCACTGCATGTCACCATGTCCTGTCATTTGTTGGTGTGGGGATGTATAGACATGTAATATTATGCCTTACTGTTTGCGTAACCAATTTATTTCAGATGATTAATTCTAAAAAACCAAAATGTAGAGTTATAGTCTTTCCTTTTGCTGTGGCAGCATTGCCCTTGAACGCGGTTAGTGAATTTGTAAACCGTAAGTTACGACAAAACTAGTAGGTTTTTTATAATGTGGTTGAATTGCTTATCTTGCTTTGAACCGTTTAACAAGAATGTAAAATATTGGAAGATTTGGCCTACTCTTTTTTATTTTGTTAGAAGAGGTTATCATAGGATGTATTCGTATTTTGCTGTCAAGTGAGCAATGAACTAACCTATGGGAATTGTTTAAATCTTTGACATCAATTCGGCTGTAAAAGATTTTAGGATTTTTAGTTAAGTGAGATATAAGGAAGTTTCCTTTGTGGGTAACAGTTTATTGGCAGTCTCTCTGGCTTGGCTATTACAAGTAATATATATCCCATTATGCTATGCATCTAAATAAATCACCCTACATGTGTAGGAAAAATTCTATTGACTCTCACTCTGCACGGAAGAGGAGATGTTGCAAATGCGGAACTCTCCTTGTCTGAACAATCATGTACCAGAACATCTAATGGTAAAGAAGAGGATTTCCCAGATCATGGATCTGTAAATTCCTGTTCACCTAAAGCTCCTCCTTTGAAGGTTCCACATGGGAAAAAAATGATGAAAGCTGTAACTAAACGTTTGGATAAGCTTCTGCATAAGAATGGGGAACCCTCAAAAAGTGATGAATCTTCAGACTTAAGTGTTAGTCCTTCTGAGTATGAAGCTTGTGTGCAGGACGAATCACTGCCATCTAGTAGTTTTGAAGAATCTTTGGATATGATGCAGTCTAGAGATGAGGATTTAGAAATGCCTGAGAATCTGCAAGGCGGTATTCTTCTTGATCAGACATATGTGGTTACTTCGAAAGATCTTAATGCCTTTCTATTTGCTCCAGATTCACAGTTTAGGAGAGAACTTTCAGAGTTACAGGGAACAACTGATATGCAAGAGAGCCCCTGGACTTGTAAATCAGGTGATTCACCACGTTTATCACGACTAGTCACCTACATTAATCCTGCCAGCAAGTTATGTAAGGCTGTTAAAGCCACTGAGGAGCAGACTTATGTCAAAGCCGATGGTGCTGAGTTTGCTGTTTTCATAAGTATAGCTACACCAGATGTTCCATATGGGAATACATTCAAGGTTGAGTTGCTCTACAAAATCATGCCTGGTCCAGAATTATCTTCAGGCGAGGAATCCTCCCGTCTTCTGATTTCTTGGGGCATAAATTTTTCGCAGAGTACCTTAATGAAAGGTATGATTGAGAATGGAGCAAAGCAAGGGCTGAAGGAGAGCTTTGACCATTTTAGTAAATTGCTAGCTCAGAAGTTCAAATTGTTGGATAGTGAGGATTCATCGGAAAAGGATCATGTCTTGGAAGCTCTTCAAAGGGAACATCAATCAGATTGGGAGTTGGCTACTGAGTATTTTGGGAACCTTACCGTAGTTGCCGCCATCTTTCTTACAATATATGTAGTTGTACATATCCTAATATCCGTGCCCCATGAACCTCAGGGACTTGAGATTAATGGCCTTATTTTGCCTGACAGTTTTGGACAGCTCATCACTTGTGGGGTTTTAGTACTTCTTTTAGAGCGTGTATATAACATGGTTTCTCTCTTTGTACAAGCCAGACTACGTGTAGGTAGTAACCATTTTTATAACTACGCCCTAATGTTTAAGATTTTAAGTCTACTTATACTATGTCCATATTCTTGATGTCGTACTCTATATTTGCAGGAAACGATCATGGGATTAAATCTCAGGGTGATGGGTGGAAAGTTACAGTAGCTTTGGTTGAAGCGGTCAACTTACCGTCACTGGACACAGCAGAACCTTCTGATCCCTTTGTGGTCTTTACCTGTAATGGAAAAACTAGGACAAGCTCTGTACAGCTTCAAACTTGTGATCCACAATGGAATGGTTTGGCCTTTTGGTTAATGTGTACCCTGTGCAATTATTACTCCATATTATTACTTTTTCTTATTTCCATCTATGAATTTACGCAGAGATACTTGAGTTTGATGCTTCAGAGGAGCTACCTTCAGTCCTTGATGTTGAAGTATTTGATTTTGGTGGCCCATTTGACCAGACAGCCTCGCTTGGGCACACAGAGATCAATTTTCTGAAGCACTCAGCAACAGAACTGGCTGATATGTGGGTTCCTCTTGAAGGGAAAGCTGTTTCCTCTCAGGCGAAATTGCATTTAAGAATCTTTGTGGAGAACAAAAAGGGAGTTGAAACAGTCAAAGGGTACCTCAACAAAATGGAAAAAGAAGTTGGAAAGAAGGTATAGGGCTATTGATTATTATGTTGATTAGCTAGTCTGTCAAAATATTTCTGTCCTTGGGTTTTTTTATTTTTTTTTTATTTTTTTGGCAAGGAATTGCACATCTTGTATATTGTGTGTGAGAGAGGATGTAACATGTTTATTTGACAGCTGAATCTTCGGTCTCCCCACAAGAACTCCTCGTTTCAGAAGCTATTTGGCTTGCCACCAGAAGAATTTTTGATCAAAGATTACTCGTGTTCTTTGAGGAGAAAGATGCCTTTACAGGTAACTCTATATGGGTAAAGCATTTCACTGTGCAATGGTTTTGAAAGAACGGGATTTTGTCATTAATGATTAAAAGCATGATGCAACTCAATATCTGCATTCATTTGTTTATAATGATTAGTACAATACTGATAGACAGTAGTTAGATAGTTATTGATGAAGAAAGCAGTTGGAATTCTCTTGAGTTGAAGTGAATGTATTTATGTGGAAAATATGAATTAATCAAAGAAGAGCTCATTTGGTTCAGCTGTTAAGGGACGTTCAAAAATTTTTGTTTGAAATTGATGGAAGAATTACTCAAAGTCTACATGAGGGTGGAGCGAGTCTCATTCCATATTTGAGGGCACGCGTGGAATGATGGAAATTAACTAGGAGGTAAATAGTATTCTGAAACTAATGTGGAAAGTAAACTATTGTTAAGAGTAGTCAGGAGGGTAATTACCCCCCTCCCCCCTTTTCCTCTTTCCTATCTCCTCCATATCCTTATAACCCAGTGCCCCTTATTGATTTTGAATACCATATAATTCATTCCCTCATTCCAAGCATGATTTGAGTGAGAGAATGGGACAATAGTGCTGACATTACTTGCATGTTTATCAACTTAGTGCTTCCTAAAAGTTGTGAATTTTGCAGGGTCGTCTATTTTTGTCAGCAAGAATAGTTGGATTCTACAGTAATTTCTTTGGACACAAAACCAAATTTTTCTTTTTATGGGAGGACATTGAAGATATTGAAGTGCAGGATCCCACCATGTCATCTTTTGGTAGTCCTACTCTTATCATAATCTTGCGGAAAGGGAGAGGCATAGATGCAAGGCATGGTGCCAGGACTCAGGATGAAGAGGGCAGGCTTAAGTTCTATTTCCAATCATTTATTCCATTTGAAGTTGCCAGCAAGTAAATTCTGCTACTTATATATGGAGCTTTATTTTCATTGTTGCCTGGATTTTATGAGGGGATGCTGTTTGAACTACTTTGAAAACACTCTCTTTTTTTACGAGTGACAGGACAATTACGGCCTTATGGAGATCAAGGACAGCTGCTCTGGAGAGGAAGGCCCTGGGCACAGAAGAAGACCAGGGGAATCAAGAAAGTCTGTTGGTTCCACTTGAAAATGACAATCATTTCCATGTTGAAGAGTCGAATATGTTGAAAATTTATTCCTCTACTCTTCCTGTCGATGTAAGTGGTTGATGAATTTGCACATTCTAGAGTTTAGACTTCATTTCATCAACTCATCACTGACCTCAACTCCTTAAGCTATATATGCTGTTGTGCAACTTAACTGTGGCCCGTCACCTTGCTAGTTTAGTGCCTTTTGGTTCTGAACAAGTCTGGGAGAACTTTTGCCCTTCTGTAACTTCTCCTTGTGTTCTCATGGATAAGTTGTCCATTGATTAATGAATTGGCACTTGACTTTTCTTCAAAAAAAAAAAAAAATGCTGTGCAACTGAGATGTCATGTCTAGCTGGGGGACTAGAGTGTAATTAAAGACATGGACATTGAACGGTACTGATAAATGATGTTTTAATCAAAATTAAGTGTTGGTGAATTTGTGGTGTTGTTAAATCTCTTTAGCCCAGTCAAAACTATATTAAAAGCTAATATCTAACCCATTAATTATATACTTTGCTCACTTAGTAATTATAAACTATGACACAGATTACTGTTTAGTTATAGTCTTTTTAAATTGGAATCTTACAAAAAATCCTTAGATACATGCTTGGTCACACTTTAAATAGATCCAAAGCGCAAACAATTTCACTGAAAAGGATATCCAATTTTTGAATTCTGAAGGTGTTAGTTGCCGTTTGGGTTCCATCATTGTTTTGATCATATTTTTGAGATCTTGAAAAAGATTTTAACGACTCCATTGCAGATCAAATCCTTAATGAAGATGTTTGGAGGAGGAAAATTAGAGCGTAAAGTGATGGCAAAATCTGGTTGTCTGAACTATGTCACAACAGAGTGGCAATCAGTGAAGCCTGATGTTTATGAAAGGCAACTTTCTTATAAATTTAATCACATTGTCTCCGTTTTTGGAGGAGAAGTGCGATGCAGCCAGAGAAAATCGCTCCTTGGTGATACAGGTGGATGGATCGTGAATGAAGCCATGGCCCTCCATGATATTCCATTTGGTGACCACTTTCGTGTATGTTGATATATTGCAACTTATTAGGCTTCTTAATTGTGTTTAGTTACTTGATTTCTTAGTACCGTTTTTGATATGAATGCAGGTACATTTGAGCTATCATCTTGAAAGTCTTCCGTCAACCAAAGATGCATGCAAATGTGAGGTATACATGGGAATTTTGTGGCTAAAAGACTGCAAATTCCAACAGAGAATCGTTAAAAATATAAATGAGAAGTTCTCCTGCAGATTAAAGTCTATTTTTGAGCTCGTCAAGAAAGAAATTCTATTGGCAAATGACCATTCAGTATAGTACTGGTAGGTTTTTTTTTTTTTTTTTTTTTTTTTTTTTTTTTTGGGTAGGGCGTAACTTTTACAATGACCATTTTTTTCAAAGGATCCTTAGAGTTGGTAATTGTGTATTATATCTTTTTGACAAGAAGAAAAGGATTTCATTAATTGTTTGTATTATATCTTTAATTACGTTTTACAGGGAAAAATTACTATAATGACCATTTGATATAGAAGTTCTCTTTTTTTTTTGGGGTAGGATGTAACTTCTTTAATGACAATTTTTTTCAATGGATCCATAGAAATTAGATATTACGAGTATATGTATATTGATTGTTCCATAGGATAACACTGATGTATATTGGGATTATTGGAGTACATCTATTCCCAAAACGTTTTTTTTACAATTACTATTTACACACAAGTTATTTGAGATGGAATGTTAATGTGATGACTGTGTATAACACAAGTATACCAAAAATAAATTGAGAACAAACTTAATAGCATGTTCTCAAATCTTAGACGAAATTAATGTATTTCTTAATTTTTGTTTAATTGACAATTAAAGATATTAAATTATTATTATTAAATCCCAGCAATTACAAATGCTTGAGATTAGGGGGATTCCCTTACCTCCCCCTCTACTCTCAAGCGTTGACCTACGGAGCTAGATTGGCTAAACTTGTAAGAAGTGTCGGTTCAATAGGGCCCTTCATCTTACCTTAAAAAAAATATTATGCGATTTGAGATGATAAAACAATACTATGAGCTACAACTCACGTATATAGGTTGTGAGTGGGAATTTAGTTTCCGTTTGAGTGGTATGTACCAACCATATTATGCGATTTGGGGTGACAAAACAATACTACGAGGCTACAACTAACGAGTACTAATGTACAATGTAACAGACCTCCCCAGTACACCCCTCATCTGCAACAAAATCAATTAATGAGTTGATGAGTCTCCACTAATTTCGTTATCATCATCAGTTCATCACCATTGCTAATGCTAATCCACTAATCCCCCTAAAATTCTCCCCTCTTCTCTAATAAATCCCTTCACACACTTTCTCTCTCCTCTCACCTTGATCAAACCCTCCATTTCCAGTTTTCCACCATCTTCATCTTCATCTTTCTCTCTCCTCCAATCATGGATCCAAACCCCACAAACTTCCCAGTCCTCTCCTACGTCATGGCTCGAGTCCCATCACTCTCCTCCCTCCGCCCACCCACCGCACCCACCCACGACATCGAACAACCCCCTTCTTCCTCCTCCTCTTCTTCCGCCGCCCCTTTCCACGACCCCCTCGTCGAAACCATGCCCCACCTCAAAGACCCCAAGGTCATGTCCGCCATGGCCGAAGCCGTCTCCGAGATCTCCCAAACTCGCTCCATCCTCCAAGCTCTCGGCGAACGCCCTGATCACGAATCCATCGACATCGCCAAATCCAAAGTCGCCGAAATCGACGCTCTTCTCTCCTCCCAACTCGAGGAAATCGCGCTCTCCCCTCGCTCCCCCGACGTCGACAGCGAGCGTGAGAAGGCGGAGCGGGAGAAGATGATGTACAAGGCTGTTATTCAGCTTGATGAGATGCATGATGCGTATGAGAAGTTGCTAAGGAGTGCTGAGGAGAAGTTGATGAAGATTTATGATTCTGCTGTTAGAGAGAAGGAAGGTGAGGTTCGTAATGGGGACGCCATTGATGAGGAGGAGGAGGAAGAAGATGAAATGAATGAGGAGGTTGTTGCGGTTTTGAAGGATGAATTTGTTGAGAAGGTTGATTTGACTGGTAGGAAGTTGAAGATTCTTCCTGAAGCTTTTGGGAAGCTTCGTCATCTTATTGTTCTTAATTTGTCTAGCAATCAACTCCAGGTTTTCATTTTTCTCTTTGTTTCTCTTTTGATTGTGTTGATTTTGTTGATTGAGATGATCAATGTGTTTTTAATTGCTTGGATTTGGAATTTTAGTTGAATTATATATTGTTGTTGACTTGTTGTTGGGTTATTGGATTCAATTGAATTTTAGATGATTTTGCATTTGCCTGCTCAGTTTGATGAATAATTATGAATTGAGGTAGAAAATGATTAAGGATCATGAATTTGTTTTGTGTTTCTATGAATTATCAAATTAGAAAATAGAGATATGATGAATGACCACATTTGACTTGGACGTGGTTTGGTGTGTCCTGCATCATTTCTGGATCATACTATTTATAAAAAATGAGTGATTTAGGATTGATGACATAATGGTGTTGGGTTTAGCAGAGCGGGTCAATTTCGTACTTTCAGATGATGTTTATTGGATGAGTTGTTTGAAGGTATTTGTTTGACTTTTGGAATGCTGTTACGGAGTGTTAAAACTTCGTTTCTTATGGTTGAAATCTGATTTGCGTTTTGAGGATTGACGAACTATTGGTGTGTGGGTTTAGAAGAGCAGATCAATTTTGTGCTTGCAGATGATGTTTATTGGATGAGTTGTATGAAGGTTTTCGTTTGACTTTTGGAATGCTGTTACGGAGTTTTAAATTGGCAAACTAATGGTGTGTGAGTTTAGAAGATTGGATTGATTTTGTGCTTGGAGATGATGTTTCTTAGATAAGTTGTATAATGACTTTTGGATTACTGTTACTGAGTATTAAAAGCCTGTTTCTTCTGGTGGAAACTTATTTTCAACTTTTAACCTGAAATCCAACTTGAAATCAAGCCAGACCCAAATAGCTATTATCTCGAGTTTTTCAGTTTCCTGAGCTGATTCCGGAGAAAACAGAAAGATTTTCATAAGAGAGTTGAGAAATATAGAAGGATTTTATGTAGTACTTTAGCTCCATAGGTATTAAGGTTATATGTGGCACACCAACCTATGGTTCTGATCTAGGTCTAATCAGCAAATACCATGTTGAAATGCCTCTCAATAGGCCCTGCTTTAGTCAAGGTTAGGCAGGTGGAGCCTATTGAATAATTTAGCGTATGTAGGCATTTTCTTGTTTGCTAAGCTTAATTAACTTAGGTGTAGGTGTTGTTGATTAAAAAAAGCAAAGAAGAAGAGCAATTTGTATCTCGGTTTAGAGAAGTAGTCGTCCGCCTGGCACGGCGAGCCGCCCGGTAGGGCGCGAGGATAAAGATAGAAATTTGTTGTACCATCGCCGGGCACTGCCTGGTAGGGCGCGAGAACGAAGAAGATTATCGCTGGCAACCGGCCGACAAGGCCGCCATTGTTCGACAGGACCCAGATTTACCTGGGTTGCTTGGTTTCTCTCGCCCAGCGGCGCGGGTGTAAGCCTAGGCAACTTTGACGGTTATCTTCGTTGTTTGCTTGGTATTTTGCTCTTAATATATATATATTATATATGATGAAAATAGTAATTTAAGAAAACGGTTGATTGTTCTTCTTGGAAAACCTTTTACAAGTTAATTTTCATTATCCCAAAATCACAAAAGCTTAAACACATTGTATCGCAATCATCCTACTTATGATTGTAATTGACCTTTGTTGTATCTCCCGAGTAAATTTTCGTAATACCCGGTTGTAGTATAGGGTCGGAATTATACTTTTGGATTGTTGGGGAATTTGTGTTTACAAGTGTCACAAAGAAAAATGTTAAGGAAAAATATGAAAGTAAACTTCCAAGATTAATATCATTTTTCTTATGCTTTAAAGCATTTCTAAAATCTTTCCAAAATAATGGTAGCTTATCAATTATAGAAGAAACAATAAAGGTCTCTTCAAGAGTGATATTGTGTTGCCTAAAACTCCCTAAAATTCCTTGGATTTCATGAAATTATTCCACAACCGGCCTACTATCAATCATCTTAAAATTATTGAACTTACTAATAAGAAATTTTTGCTAGATGCATCCTCGACCATATATTTATATTCTAATTCATTCCAAAGCAATTTTGCAGACTCATGAAATTGATAAATATCAAACAATTCATTAGACATACCGTTAAGGATGTGACCACGGCATATATAGTCATCGTTCTCCCACTTGTTCCTCTTTCTAGTGGCATCCAACGTCTCTTTTTCCTCCTTTGAAGGCTTCGGGGTTGTGAGGAACATAAGCCATACGCCCACACCGAGCGATGTCAACGGAAAATGCATCTTCTTTTGCCACTTTCGAAAATCCACACCTTTAAAACTTTTTAGCTCCATTAGTCACATCAGATGCATGTACAGTCTTTTTCTTCTTCTCCTTAGGTACACTTATTACATCTTTATCCTTCAAAATAGTGGAAGAGCAAAGCCATCCATATAGAGAACGATGTCATTAGGGCAGGAATCATAAAGGAGTGCAAAAGATTCTGAAATTGGGGTTTTAGAAGAACCCATGAACGCTTGAGACCAAATTTTTTTGGGGTTTTGGTTAGAATTCCACGATCCTGGAAATTTACTCGCAATCTTCGTTGCATCACCTCCATCACTCTCGAGTAGGAGTGAAAATAATACGAGATTATTTCGGATTTTTTTGTGGGTATTTGCGAAAAGTGAAAAGTTAGGAACCTTTTGGCTGAGACTCTTGTCTTGGGAGGAATTGGAAGGAAAAGAAAACAAAGGAATCCATAATTTGAGTCAACTACCATTTTGAAGGATAAAGATGTAATAAGTGTAATTAAGGAGAAAGGAAAAGACTATACATGCATTTGATGTGACTAATGGAGCTAACAAGTTTGAAGGTGTGGATTTTTGGCAAAAGAAGATGCATTTTCTGTTGACATTGCTCGGTGTGGCTTGTGTTCTCACATCCCCGAAGCCTTTGGAGGAGGAAAACAAGACATTGGATGCCACTAAAAAGAGGAACAAGTGGGAGAATGATGACTACATATGCCGTAGTCACATCCTTAACGGTATGTCTAATGAATTGTTTGATGTTAATCAATTTCATGAGTCCGCTAAATTGCTTTAGGATGAATTAGAGTCTAAATATATGGTCGAGGATGCATCTAGCAAGAAATTTCTTGTTAGTTAGTTCAATAATTTTAAGATGATTGATACTAGGCTAGTTGTGGAACAATTTCATGAATTCTAAAGAATTTTAGGCAACACAATATCACTCTTGATGAGACCTTTATTGTTTCTTCTATAATTGATAAACTACCATCATCTTGGAAAGATTTTAGAAATGCTTTAAAGCATAAGAAAGATGATATTAATCTTGAGCTTGGCTTCTCACATTTGGATTGCGGAGGAAATCCGAGTGCAAGAGGGACAAAGGGATGTTAATCCTAGTTCAACCACAGTTAATGTGGTGGAGGATGCTAAGTCTAATGAGAGAAAATGAATCAAACAAAGGCAAAAAGCCTAAAGTGGGAAGTGATGGTAAAAAATCACGAGCTTATTAGGTTTGTGGAAATTCCGGTCATTTTAGAAAGGATTGTACCATTTGGAAGAAAAAGATGAGCAATAAAAAGGCACAAGGTGGAAAAGGCAGGTTAAGCCAATCCTAAGACAAGCAGTGTGCACAAATTTCATTTAATTCTTTAATGAGTTATTTATGTGTGAAATCTGAAATCCTATGTGTACAAGGTGATACTTATACTTCTTGGTACATTGATTCAGGAGCAT